CACACACACACACACACACACACACACACACACACACACACACACACACACACACACACACACACACACACACACACACACACACACATAGGCGCTATATATATCTAAACGCAATTTCAAAAATATATAATAATAGAAAAAGAATCCTTATTTCCTTCAGCATTTATAAATCAAGAAGGAGATTCACACTCCTTTCTTTATTCTCACACATCCATCCATTCTCTATATTGTCTATTTTTAAATCTAATCCTAATATATCAATCTCGGCATACAATACTTTCTCGTTATTCCTATCTTATCTATTTTCAATATTTCTTTACTTATCTTTATTCTGCTTCTTTTTATTCTAAACAATTTTAATCCTCTTCCTTCTATTTCTATTAATTTTCTAACTTTTATTTATACCTACACCTCGCCGCTAAATTCCTATTTGTTATCTTTACGCAATCTTTAATTTTTATTTAATCTTCCTTCTTTATTCTTTGTCCTCCTCGATATACGGTACATTAAAAAATTTCCGATCTGATCAAAAAAGAGCAAGATTTCAAATTTCAATACTTGTCCAACAGATGACATTAAAAGAAACAGAAAGAGTTAAGTTTGATGTCATTTTAACGATTAGTTTGTTTTTGATTCTTCTAAAGTAACAATGGAGAAATCGAAAGAAAAATTGAAATCGCGCTAAAATTCCTTTATTTGAAAGAGAATATTGCGGAACTTAAAGCTGAATTAGATTTATTGTATGGCTGCTTCTTCATTTCACGAAAATTTGTGAAAATTTGATTTACTGAATTCGTGGCAAAACAAGCATTTTCGATAATGATTATTTCAAAGAATGACCAAAGATTGCAATAACGAATAAAATGATCGATTGTCAAATCGTGGAGAGGACAATCGTCGATTAACTTTGAGACAGGTAGGTGGAGACTGTTAATATTATTTCATACGAACGGGCACAATATTTTAATGAGAGATTAGGTATAAGATAGCGCTGAGTGCACATTGAGTGCCGCATTTACTCACTATTGATTAGCAATTGCGGATTTGCGATGGCGAAATTGTACGAACTGTGTACGAAGTATGAATTAATTATTACATTCATCGTTTTACTTTCTTGGATTATGTTGCGAAAAAGTTTCATTTAGCTGCAAAAATGTTTTCATTTAACTAAAAAAAATGTTTCTTAGTCAGCTCGGAAACTTTTCAATCTACTCTCGTACTCTTTAGATCTCTTGTCCTCTAATTCTTTCTATAATTAGTGCCAAATACGACACCGTCTAATCAAGTTCCAAATATATAATAATAAAAGTATATAAATGTACTTTTTTGCTAGTATCATAGAATTCATTTTATTTACGAACACTCAAATTTCTAATTAATCTAAATTATATAAATAAAAACATCTTGTAAATGAAATTTATACTGAAAATTATATTTAACTCTATTTAAAAATTGGTATTTATCTTTAGAATATACCTCAAGTATCACGATATTTTGACCCTCTGTGACTTGCAAACCACTCTCAGGTTCCATAAGGGGAATTCGAGACATATCTGCAAGATTCTTGTGTGAAGTCTTCGTAGTCAACGATGAAATCAAGATTCTGGAATAGATTTTACACTGCAGTCCTTGAAATTTTTCACGCCAACTCTTAGTCTGGATGCAAGAGAATTGTGAATTGCCCTCTATACATACAATGAATATAATTGTATTTAGGCATTAAGACGCGCGTAAAGAAAAATAATTTAATTATTAAAAAATTTCTTCATGAAACAGAACTATTGCAAGTAAAAACACAATGCTAGTATTATTTTTATCTTATTAACTCATGGCACATTGCCATGAATGTGTAAAGCTTTCACCCTTACGTTTTGAAATCATAGTTCTGTTAAGAGTTTTGGATTATATTTATAATAAAACAAAAGGAAAATTTCTTGATAATTTTTAAAGAGTTCCAAAGAGTTTTAAAGAATTTAAAGAATTATATATATAATAAGCGTGGACTGTAAAAAGTGGGGTATTAACTTTATACCCAATATTAGCACTGAATAATTTTGAATACTTTATTTGATGTCTTTTGTCGAGTAATATACACTAGTTATCTAATATTTATAAATTTTTAAAAAAATATTTTTAAAGAATAAAAAAATTTATAAATATTAGGAACTGTAGTACTCGTCTCAAAAGACATCAAATACACTATCGATATCAATATTGGATAAAATTAGCACTCCTTTTTAAAATTTACTTTTAGTGTTGTACCTAATAAACGGAAGTCTTTCTAAAAACTATATACAAAAACTCCCTTCTTTTGTTTCAATAATCCGGAACGCTAACAAAACTATGATTTTGATAAGGATGCCACTTTATCTATTGCCGTGCTGCATTTTTTAAAAAAATCTATTCTTTATCAGTACCGCAAACAGTGAATCATTGTGCATTTTTTATGGAAATATTTTATTTTTAATGGCACTATCCATGATTCACGGAAACATTATCTCAAACCAGCTCTGTCAGATTCGACTTTTTTGTGCGTTTTATCAATCATTACCGTTTACTTTACATCGACTGCCGTGCCAATGTTACGAGATATACAGTATCTAATTTACACATGGGTTTGGCAGTATTTGCGGAAGATAGGATTTTACTTCAATTAGTTACTGATTTTTTAGTGTAGATAGCGTATATAAACGTATATAAATTTTTTAGTTTTATACAGGGAATGGAAGAGTAACTAGATTATTACTTTTTATAATAATAATTTGATAATAGTTGCAATTTTAAGACTGTAATGATAACTAACTAACTAAAAATTTATCCTATATTATAAAAATTCAATTAAACATTTGAACCCTCCCCCCTCCCCCCGATTAGAGTTCTCCTCAATAATTAAGTTAATAATTTTTAATTGGATTCTAATGTGTTAAATAATAGATTGATGACAATATATATAAATTAAAAACATTTACTCATCGCGTAAGGATTGGTCATAATAATTTGGAACATTAAATATTGAATCACATCGACGAGACAGTCCAAATGTCGTCCATTAAATTACTAGATTTACCAAAGTGATAACAATAAATTAAAATTAAAATAGGAAACTTCATCAATTAAAGTACTTACACATAAATCGTAGGTGGACGTATCTTGTGATGTTACTAGTACGCTTGTCATAGATCAAATGAGGAATATAGGTATGTCGAACAATAATACGAGAGGACACTAAATAGACGCTAATGAAGAGGGGGAAACATCAAGTCTTGAAAATAAAAGAAGTATATAAGGGATCTTAAAGTTATGTGTCATTTTTTTACATTTAAATTATTTTTTCTTATTTGTATAAAAATCATTTTTGATATCAATCAATTTGTTTAAAAAAAGTTTTCTTTGTTTATTATAAGCTTTCTTTTTTTTCAGATTTATCTTCGTCGCTCATATTTCTCGGTTTCTACAAAGAAAATTACATAAGAAAACATAGAAATAAAACGATTCCCATGCGGTAAAAAAACCTCGAAAATTTCTATCCACCTTTAAATAGCTTTAAAATTAATTTTGAATGAAACGATAATTTCGTAAACATGATTTTTTAATCAAATCGAATGACAATTAATTTTTCTGATATACTTACATATCGGCGCGTTCATACATTGTACCAATGAGAAACTAACGAAAGTTATCGGATCAGAGCACAAACATAAAGTTTACTAACGATCGTATGTACTAATGCCCTGTCACAACGTGGAAGATGCACGGTATACTAATGACATCGACACCAATATAATATGAGTGACGATCACTATTAACACGAGTGAGATGCCGCTCTATTGACAAAACAGTGAAGAGAACGTTTGATAGCAACTCGTATACGCAACTAATTGTAACTCTAAACTTGACAAAGACTTGTTTAAGAGATGCGTCTCTGTTTAATATTATCTGAATTGAAAAATATACGTTATGTATATATATATAATTATGTATAATTATGTATAATTATGTATATATATATATATAATATATATAATATGCATAAGTAATAAAATTGATTGCTTAATTTGCAAATTT